TACTTTTGCTTACAACCATAACAGAAGAACCATACTGCTATTTGTGGCCTGGTAGGCAACACTTTCACTTCACACATTGAGTGTCCATGGTTTAATCCCCAGCAAGGGTGGAAACATTGGGAGTGTTTCCTTACACCTGCTGTCCCTGTTCACCTAGCAAACAAGTAGGTACCTGGGTGTTAGTCAACTAGTGTGTGTCACATCCTGGGAAACAAGACTGAAGGACCCCAATGGCAATGAGACAGTTGTTGATGACACACTGACTTTCTTGGGTTATCCTGGGTGGCTAACCCTCTGGGTTAAAAATCTGAAAACTTAACTTTTCACTTGGTTAAGAAACTAAATTGTCTGTTTTAAACAAACTCTGATGTGCTGATCATCAACCTGAGCTTGATTATTCTATCATGAAAGTTTTATTCTGAAACTGTATGATCAATATCTAGGCTATTTCAAGTCACCTAACAATCGTAAGCATTATATTATACATACACATTAGCCCCTAAATGGTCCAAACGTATATATACGTTTTTTCAACATTTGAAAGTACAGTGGTCCCTCAATAATCGACCGGCCTGAAAGTCGACCATTTCGGAAATCAACCGGTTTTTTCGACAAAATATTGACTCGGAAATTGACCGAAATTCGTTTATCGACCTGTCTCGACCCGTCGTCCCAGACGCGTATGCACGAGGTAAGCGGGCCTCGACCCGCCTCAGCCTTCCTTCCCAGCCAGTGTGCCATTGTTTACCAGGTAGCGGCGGTCCTCTCACGTGCTCCAGTGAAATATTTCATAATATTTCATTTATTTTAGTGCTTGCAAGTTATTTAAGTGCTAAATAAGCTACCATGGCTCCAAAGAAATTGTGGCCAGATTGTGTCGACAAGAGGGATTTGGAAGGGTTAGGGGCTGACCCTGATGAGCCTATGTCAGTTTTGAACTCTATTGTGGCACTGGGGAGTTCCATGGGGTTGGATGTGAGTTTGGAGGATGTGGAAGAGTTGGTGGAGGACCACAACGAAGAGCTAACCACTGAGGAGCTGCAAGAGCTTCAGCAGGAAGAGCAACAGATCGCAGCTCAGAATCTTGCTGCAGAGGAGGAGGAAAAGAGATGGAAGAAGGTGCCTTCTTCAGAAATTAAGGAGATTTTTACTATGTGGGGTAAGATGGAAAGATTTATGGAGAAACATCACCCAGAGAAGGATGTTGCAAGCCATATCGGCAACTTGTACAGTGACAGAGTCTTGGCCCATTTTAGGGAAGTTTTAAAGAGACGCCAGAAACAGAGCTCTCTGCACAGTTATTTTGCGAGACAGGACTCCAGTGACTCTCAAGGTGGTCCTAGTGGCATTAAGAAACAGAGAAAAGAAGCAACCCCAGAAAAGCAAATGGTACCTGAGGTGTTGCTGGAAGGGGATTCCCCTTCCAAACTATAAACAATCCACTCTCTCCTCCTCCTCCAGTCTCCTATACACTAAGAAGAATCTCCAATAAAGGTAAGTGTTATGCTGTTAATGTTTCATTCATCATTTCCCATTGTATTGTTTATGTACTACATGAATATTTCATGTAAAAAATTTTTTTGTTTTAATACTTCTGGGTGTCAGGAACGGATTAATTGAATTTACATTATTTCTTATGGGGAAAATTGATTCGTAAATCGACCATTTCGATAATCGACCGGCTTCCAGGAACGGATTACCGTCGATAATCGAGGGACCACTGTATGTAAAAAAATGTACATCACCTTTTTTTTTTACATTTGAAAATGTGTAAAAAAAAACTTTTATCTACATTTTTTTTGTTATATTTGAAAATATGTAAAAAAAAAAATAGATCTACTTTTGGAGCACTACGGATTTGAACGTCGATCTATTTGGATCGTTTAAGGGTTAAGTGTGGCGTGTGCAATAACAGAACTCATCTTTCTTAACGTAAATTCATTATACATAAGCATAAAAATAACATACTGCCATACAGTCATACACATTTATATCATGGTTTTCAGGCTGTGTTCGCTTGTGTTCGGTATCGCTCTCCTTCACCAGCATCCAGCAGTAGTTGACCATCAAATTGGTCAACAGGTTTCCCTGATATCTCTTCTCCATGATGGCTATGTTTTGGCAAAATCATTCACTATGGGGCTCTATTTCACAGAAACTGTACATGTTGGAGCAAAATTAAATTCAGATTTGAATTCAGCATCTCAAAATTAGCTAGAAATGCATATTTTAAAGTGTGAACTGAAGCCTTTGTTGGCCAGTATTTTCAGAAGAGCAGCGGAGTACCTGGAAAGAAGCAAGTGGTTCATAAACAACAGCCAGCATGGGTTTAGAGATACTAAACCTATCTCACAAATCTACTAGAGTTTTTCACAAGGTAATGAAAGTTAGCCAGTAGAGAGAAGAATGGGTGGACTGTAAGAATGCATTCGATAAAGTACAGTAAAGAAAACAGGCCTCTGTCGGGTTATCCTAAGTTACAAGCTTTCACCCTTGTAGCTGTGACACCTGTCACTCACTATTAAAGTTTTAACTTAAACAGTGCACTGTATCTCTGTATGCCATTTCTTTAGGTAACAACTCATTCTATGAATATTTATACAGTTCTTTCAATTGTGCATAAGAACACTTGTGTACAATTCAGGACATTTATTAAAGCATAAGTTTCACCATGAGTGAATGTAATTCAGTACAGAGGACTGATGAAGCATTTCCTTGGAAAATATGAAATGGCACCATACAACACAACTGACCCTATATGACAATAACTAACCCTATACGACACAATAACCGACCTTATACGACACAATAACCGATCCTATATGACAGTAACTGATCCTATACTACAAAATAACCGACCCTATACGACACATCAAGGAATGAGAGTTGTAAATTTTCTCACATCTAGAAACAATATTAGTTCTCATGACACTTGTTATAAAATATTACCTTTAATAAATGTTCTAAAGAGTATAATGTCCTTATCCATTGTTTTATGGTACAGGTCAGCCAACACTAATCCGGCATCATTAGGATTAGTGAGTTTACCGGATTACAGAGTGGTTAGGTTAGAATACACTTAATTAACCTATTAATACAGACTCTTTCTGCTACATCTTCCTCATTTTCATCGCTGCTTTCTCCTCCACTGGCTTGCTGCTGCTGCTGTGGATTTACTGCACAATTTCTGAATCAGTATAATGATGAAATTTGAGTCAGTATAATGATGAAATCTGAGTCAGTATAATGATGAAATTTGAGTCAGTATAATCATGAGATTTGAAATTATAGTAGCCAAAATTAGTGCTGGATTACTGATGGAACTGGATAACTGATTGCCGGATTAGTGATGGCCAACCTATACCACCATACCATTTATCCACAACTTTATGGTATCATCATACCATATACAACCAGTTCTCTCACCTTTTCTTCAATAGTGAAATTTAGTCTATCTAACAAATTACCACAAATAGTTAATAATTTTAAAATAATTGTTAACTAAAATTGTTCTAGGAACTTGCAAACCTTTAAAAGAATTTCCCTTCAGTGGGAAGGGAGGTGCACTGATGCCAGTGAAAATCTCTTGATCCAAGTAGCTGAGACTACTCTCCCCTTCCATGGATCAAATCAGTTTACCTCCCATTCTCTTAACCCTTTCAGGGTCCATGCCATAAATCTACGGCTTTACGTTCAGGGTCCAAACTGTAGATCTACGTCATGAGCTCAGCTCACTCTGATAAGCTGTGAGTGGTAAATTTTGGCCTAGATATGAGAGAATACATGTATGTGGTATGTGTGCACCACACAAAACAAATCCTGCAGCACACAGTGTATAATGAGAGAAAAAAACTGAGACCGTGATTTTCAATTAAAACAGCGACTTTGCAGTGCTTTTTCGTATGTTTTTTATAGTTGTATTTGCGATTTCTTTTTCTCATTTGATAGAATGGAAGACATATTACAGAAATAGAGATGATTTTGATTGGTTTTAGCACTGGAAATGGCTTGAAACTGAGCTCAAAGTAACGGAAATGTTAATTTTTTGCCGATGTTCAAGAGTACACAAACGACCTCACATGTCTAATACACACCAGCTGGTGGGTCTAATATACATTCACAAATGTGGTGATGATATTTATACAATTATTACAATATTGCGTAACAGTAAATCTTCTATTTTTTGGTTTGAATAAAAATTCATTATGTGAATAAAAAATCAAAATGGAATTCATTTGTAAAGCCTCAAAATGTAACTAATAAACAGAGGAAATGTTAGTTTAGTGCCAGGAATGCCTACACTGTTTATTCTGGACCCTATTTTGAAATTGGAATATTTTGAACTTTGTGTTAAATTGGCCAAATTACCAATTTCCGATCACTTTATTTTGTAGTTGAAACAGTTGACTTGGCGATTTCTTGTGCTCAATCGATAGAAGTAATAATAGTGAAATAGCTAAGAATGTGGTCGACTGGAATAATGTAATTGGCCTAAAATGGGAGTCAAAGTCGGCAAAATCGCCGATTCATAAATATCGCTGACACATCAAAATTCGCGAGAGCATAATTTCGTCAATTTTCCATCACATTTCGTACTTTTTGTTTTATTACCTTCACAAAAAGATTCTCTACCATTTCATAAGAAAAAATAACAAAATTTTTTTTTGAAAATTCTTGGACCCTGGTGTGCACTTTGAAATTTGGCCTCTGGACCCTGAAAGGGTTAAATGTTATATACTTACCTATGAGTATAATAATTTATAAACATTACAATGCTAGGAAACTTAAAAATATACAAGCTCATACCTCGGCACTACACAAATAACCTGCACACTGAAGAAAAAAAATCTTATGACAATGTTTCAGTCCGATTCGTCAGTGCGTGTCTGGTTAATGGCCCAAATCAGACCAAAACATCATCATAAGTTTCTTTCTGCTATGTGTGGGCTATCTGTGTATTTTTCCAGTCACAGTATTGCACCTTTTTGTTCTTCACATACCTCAGCATGTTGTAGGAGCATGTCCAGCTCATCTCTGGCTACAACCAGCCGTAGTTTGTCAGTGGAATCTATCACAAAGATAACACCTTGGCAGTCATGGTAGTAGTGCTCCCACAAGCTGCGGTAGCGACCCTGGCCTGACATATCAAAAGCAGTGAATCCCACATTCTTGGCTGAAAAAAAAAAAGATAAAGGTAAGATATATTTGCAGTGTAGCTTTGTACTGTATTGTATACAACATGCAAGATGAGACTTCTATTCCTGCACGAGGTCTTGCTCTATGTGAGACAGGTATTATCTAGTGTCCCATTTACATCAGTACTGTATTCCTGTTTAAGTGATGTACCTTTAACATCTTGAACTCAATACAGCTGTTATATGTTGCACAAGTGTCTCAATCTTCAACTTATCAGTTTTAACCCATTTACCACAGCTGCCATGACCTGCAACATATCTTACTACATAAAGCAAGAAAAACTTGTAGTACAGTGGACCCCCGGTTAACGAACTTTTTTCATTCCAGTAGTATGTTCAGGTGCCAGTACTGACCGAATTTTTTCCCATAAGGAATATTGTGAAGTAGATTAGTCCATTTCAGACCCCCAAACATACACGTACAAACGCACTTACATAAATACACTTACATAATTGGTCGCATTTGGAGGTGATCGTTAAGCGGGGCTCCACTGTATATGGATACTTCTAACAGGACATATGCGCAGGTTCAAGTATTTTACAACTTTTATATTTTACTACCCACATACTGTACTACTTTATGTGCATATATTGTTTTCCAAGGCACAGTGTCTATACTCAGGCAACTAAATATAATCAAAGTTTTCATAAATATAAAGATTAAGAACTCTTAAGTTGATCATACTGGAAAAATTTGTTTTATATTGGAGAAAATGAAGAAAAAATTAAAAAATGCAGTGGTGACAGTGTCAACCCAGTCCAACTTTAGTAATGCCTTAAAAGTGACTTGTAACTAGTGGTGGCATCTTTGACTCACAACTGAAGAACTTAGGTTCAATCCCAGTGTGAGTGGAAAGGCAATTCTAAAGGCCTTGATAAACCAAAAGGCCATAACAGGCCACTTTTTTGATCAAGGCCTAATCAATTAGGCTCTTATTGCTGGCTGCATGCAGTCCAATGCACGAACCACAGCCCAGCTAGTCAGGAACCAAGTTGAGGAACATGTTATGTTCTCTCTTCAAGACGGTCAGAGGTTTGTTGATAATTCTCCTTATGCCTAAAGGAAAGGTGTTGAAATGTCATGGACCTCTGACACTCATTAAGCTCTCCCTTAGTGTATTTGTTGCACTTGATTTTCCAGATGTATGGGCAAATCTCCTTGTACTCGCTGCCCATGTTCACCCAGAAGTAAATAGGTACCCAGGTGTTGAACAATTGTGTGCCGCATCCTGAGAGCTGCAAAAATACCTTGGATATAGCTGGGCTTTGAAACAAGCTGACATAGGAATGGAAATAAGTCACTATGATTTTTTGGGGTTATCCCAGGTTCTCTACACATATGCTGCTATGTATGATAATCTATGTAACTGTATTTGTGTATACCTGAATAAACTTACTTACACCTCTGTAAACAGTGGCATAAAATTACAAAAATAAAAATATACAGTACAACATCAATACAGTAATGTATTATTTTAAGGCATTTTTATACCACATTTCAAATGCACAGTTTATTCATACCAACTGGCCATGTTTCATATGAATAAGCTGAACAATGCTGAAACAGTACTAAAATTTAATGCACTTCATGAAGCATTTGAACAAACACATAATGCTGGGCATAATGACCTGAAGGACAATGGAGACAATACAGTGGACCCCCGGATAACGATATTTTTTCACTCCAGAAGTATGTTCAGGTGCCAGTACTGACCAAATTTGTTCCCATAAGAAATATTGTGAAGTAGATTAGTCCATTTCAGACCCCCAAACATACACGTACAAACGCACTTACTTAAATACACTTACATAACTGGTCGCATTCGGAGGTGATCGTTATGCGGGGGTCCACTGTATACTGAGTTCTTAATAATTAATACAGTGCTTCACTTCATGGCATTTCATTAATACAGCAGTTTTTCAATTATATTCATTCTTCATTTATTCACTTCCTACAATAAATATATTCGCCACTCACTATAAGCCAAGGATGAAAATATTTTAAAATAAGTAATGTGCGTACTGTATATGCATTTTTTTAGGCCTAGTTCTATCTCTCACTTAATATATGATAGTGTAAACATGTTATCAGGCTTTTATATGCATCTGAAAGTGGAAAAAGGCTATGTTTAACTTATAGTTATTTTTACTTTACATCAGTAGCCTGGAACCTGACCCACTGTATAAGTGGCGCCTGTCTGTACTGTTCGTTGGGTTGCCATTCTAAGTTTTTTGTATAATATATTTTTCACACGCTAGAAAGAGCAGCCTCGGTTAGAATATGCTCCATAACAATCAACCAAAAATCAGGTCCCTAGCATCCAAAAGCATTCAAAAAGATTTCGTTCATTGAAGTACAGTATGAATATAATAAATGTTGCTTAACTGTAAGAAAAAGATGTCCTTGAATCTTAGAGGTAGGAAGTACAATGCCTACAGTCTGAAGGATGGGTGAGAATGTTGCTGTTTGGCAAGTCACTGAATTGTTATGTCCAACCTCTGGCAAGACTGCTAGTAAATGAATGATGGTGAATGTGTTTCCTTCTTTTATTCATCCTAAAAGTGGCAAGAGATGGCCAATGTGGTTAAAAATATAAAAGGGAGGTGGAGGGAGAGTTCCTAACATGCAAACATTTCTTACTCCAGCGACCTGAAGCTTCAAGCATAACTACAGTAGCATACTGTATATACAGTCCCATATTGTACATATTTCCTACAGCAATTTCAAAAGCCATGGACTCACATTACACTCTTCAAAATTATTGCCATATATTTTCTTAACTGATTCAGAACAGAACTAGCCAAAGGTTAGTGGCTGGAAGTGGACACTATGATGTGAAGAATTATAGGCTTTGTTTAGACCTTGGGCCACATTGCCTGGAATTTACTAGAGTTTTTCAACTCGCTTGCCTAGGGTTCAAACCCCACCTGTTCCGTGATAGACTTAACTATAGGTCCTGCGCCATGCTTGCTCATTTAGAAGCTGCAACTGCCCTTGAATTACAGCTTTTTAGTGGGCAAGACACTTTCTTGGTTGTTGGCTAGAGATAAAACGGACTTTTGTATTTGCCCTGCCTGAATTGATTAGAAAATTTACAAGCAAAATATTTCAGTAACAAGATGAAAAATGGAACTCCTCAGTGCATGTTGTCTATCCTTTTGTAAAGTACATGCACATGGATTAGGGAACTGATGTAATCAGTCCCTCAGCCTCGAGATGTGTTCAGTCCATCAAGGCTGATGAACTGAACACCTGATACCTCATACTCAGTCCTCACATATTCCGCTGTGTGTTAGTGAAGGTTATGAGACCCAATACTACAGTTATATAATGAAATTCAAGACACAAATATGATAAAATTTGCCATCACCATAGTGTCAGGTATACCCAAATTAATATTCCTTAATCACTAGCTAGTAATTACATTCCTTACCGATAACTTGTGTAAATCACGAATACAGAATTTATAAACTGAAATTATGTAAGAATTAAGAAATTCTGATAATGATTCTTAGCCTTGCCAAATATACTCACTTAAAAATTGCTGTGTAAATCACAAATTAAGAAAGACTGAGGCAAAATATTGAATTTATACACTTAAATTACGTAAGACATTTTGATAATGATTCTCAGCCTTGCCAAGTACACCTACTTAAATTATTATATCCCATCTCAACAGTGATTATGTGATGTACTCTGCAGCAACAAACTGTTGAATGAAGGAAAATACCGTGAAACAAAAGATACGTGTAGTATACCCACTAGAGGTACAACCTGCATTGTCTCAAAACAACATAAGTGAAACAGTAGCAGCAGCAAGCCACTGGCGACTAAATCTACTAGCAACTGCATCTACTAGCAACTGCATCTACTAGCGACTGCATTACTAGCGACTGCATTACTAGCGACTTCCGGTGATTAGTTTGGTTGAAATACATTGCATGTTAGTGGCTTTGTTTTGTGCCTACCAATACTTTATTACAAGTAAATTACATTATTTTTGTACTGCATAAAAATAATTAAAAATGTGAATTTGAATTCATCCATAAATCTATGACTAGACGTTTCACACTGCCATCCAAAATTTACACTGTAGTACTGAACCACTCCAGGACTGGAAGACCACAAATTATTTTCCAAAATGATAATGTGCTCCAAAAAGCATCAGAATCCAATGCTTCATTTTCTTTATTTTATTAAGACAATATCTGTTTCCCACCAAGGCAGGTGACTCAAAAAAGAAGACACACTTTCATCATCATTCAGCTGAACACTATGTAACTATGACAATTTTTTTTAAAGTTATGATATATACTCACATAGGCCATTTATACTGCCAACAAATTACTATTTGTTTCTGAGTGCTTACTCTTGCCATTCTCGTGCAAAGAACAAAAATAACACATTAGGAGCAACTTAGACAATTACAATGTAAAGGTTGTTGTTGCAACATCAAGATACAAATACAGTGGACCCCCGGTTAACAATATTTTTTCACTCCAGAAGTATGTTCAGGTGCCAGTACTGACCGAATTTGTTCCCATAAGAAATATTGTGAAGTAGATTAGTCCATTTCAGACCCCCAAACATACACGACCAAACACACTTACATAATTGGTCGCATTCGAAGGTGATCGTTATGCGGGGGTCCACTGTATAATTATCTTGCATGCGAAACTCAAAAATCAACCAGTGCTGATATTTACTTGTACTGCACATTATATATACACTGGTACCTCAGGATACAAAACTCAAATGAGAACAATTATGTAAGTGTATTTTTGGGGGTCTGAAATGCATTAATCAAATTTACATTATTCCTTATAGGAACAAATTCATTCGGTATCAGCACTCGGACAGCATTCTGGAACAAATTAAGTACGTATCCCGAGGTACCACTGTACTGACAATTAATTTGGGGGATTTTCACACACATTCAATGCACATTTTGTTATCTTGTCAACTATAAACTAAAAT